ATATATATATATATTTACAAACAATCTATTCCTAAATGGGTAGTAAATTGTGCATTTATGCACAATGAAGTTACAAAAGTAATTCCATCGTTACCATTTTTTTACGCAGATGTCTCTGGCAATTAAGAAGATTCTGTATGCGGCTGATGCAAAAGGATCAGCATTAGATGAAGCTCAGGAATACCTTAATGAAGTCATCAATGGTGTTGAAGAAGAAGTTGAAGGTGAAGTTGAAGCAGAAACTGAAACCTGATTACTCTCACAAAATGATCCTGGCTGGTATGCACAAGATATTTGCCAGGTCCTTGGTAAACAGGCGTTAGTGCCATCTGTGATGACTAAGACTAGTTATCCTTCTCCATGCCGTGGCCATGAAGTGCCATAATGACATAGCTGTAGTTTTATGGACCTTTTGTTTCTTGTTGTAAACCTGGATGGATAATCAAATATTATGGTTGATGTTTCCAATAAATAAAGTTAATCTCACTGTCCTTGATATCAGTTAAAAAAGAACTTCAATGAACTTTTTTTGAAATGGATGTGTTTCAACCCTTTCCTATTTGTTGGAGCCTCTGCTGTATATGAAATTTTCTATATGTTTGATGTATTTCACTATCTATAGTTATGAATGAAATGGATTCCTATTACTTTTAAAAGGATGCAAGAAATCTTATATTTGTTTTGCCACTTGAGATGGTTACCGTGGCTGCTTTTTTAAATTTTTGAAGAAATTGATCATGATGATGATAAGACTAATCAAATACCAATAGCATTTTAAATCCCAAGTACAGAAATCTACTGTATATGAGAATTTATAGGTTATTGTAACTCTTTTGTTTTTGCCTTGAAATGGTTACTGTGAGTGCTTTTTAAACTTTCAAGAATTTGACCATTATGAAGTTAATACTTGTAATCAAATACCAATAACATTTCAAATTCCAAGTAGAAATGTATATACTGTTTGAAATTTGTAGTTTATTATAATTCATAGACGACTTTATCCAATGTTACTAGAATTTTGATGCAGAAATGAATTAATGGTTTGGTACTGAAGTTTGATGTGATCTTAATGTAAACATTTTCCAATAATTTAATTGTGATAATGTTAGTTATTTGGCTAGTTTCTTTTATTATTTTGGACAAGAATTTATAATATTTTTATTTCAAAGTTGACAATATTTAGTCAAAAGATTAACCAAAACAGAACAACTCTCATGTTATAAGGGGCAACAGATCAGCTTACATGTGAAAGTCAAAAAGATGAATTAGGTAAAGTTTAACATTTTATTTTGGATCTCCCTTCTTAAAAATTCATCCAAATAGAATTTTATGGAAATTGTTTTTAATTGGGAGAGATTCAAGCTCCTCTTCAAGCCCATAATAAAGAACACTTCTAATTTCAAAATACATATATCTCTTTTTTATGATTTTAAGAAAAGGATTCTGGTTTTAAATATTTTTTTTCTTCCTTCTCCATTTTTCTTATCTTATTTAAAAATAACACATTGATCAAAATTTAATAAAAAATTATGAAAACTAAAGGTTTAAAATACAGTTTTTATAAACAAAAATAACTTGATTTAATTATAAAAAAAATATTTTTTATAACTTTTAAGGATTCATAAATATTGTTTACACAATATAAGGACAATGAATGTGGTTGGAATTCATGTTTGACTCCCATCATATGTGAAAATTTGTTGGATGATTATTATCACAAATGAAAACTTGTTGGACAACTAAAATGAGTTTCTAACAGAGTGAGTTAAAGAAAACATGTTACTAAAAGAATACTGTTGACATTTATGCCTTTTATGCTATCAATAAAATAATAATTGTATGCCTTTATGTTTATATTTAAATGTGTATTAAAAACAAAAAAGTCGATCGATTTAATAGTATATTTTATATTTATTTATTTTATATTAAAATAATGTTTTTTCAAAAATATATAATAATTAAATAATTTATTTGGTTATAAAAAATTTCTATCTTTTAAACATTTAATTTTTAAATATATTTTTATTTTTACTTCTGAATTCAGTCTATCCAAAATATTAACTCCCCATATTAGGGTCTCTCTAGTGTGAAGTAAGTGTCGAATAAGATGTGGGGGGCCCTAAGCGGCGGGAGAGGAAGGGGGAGAGAGGTGAAGTGAGGGTTGGCGTGGGAGGTGATCAGGAATTAGATATCGAAGGCGTCGCAGAGTTCTTGGAAGAACTGCCGACAGTGGCTGCAGGGGGCGGCGGAGATCGCGAAGGAGTCCAGACGGGTCTTGTCGTGGAGGGCCAGGTTGGAGAGGAGGAATTGCTTGGAGACGAAGTCGAGACGACACCAGTAGAGGGAGATTGACTCAGAAAAAAAAATGACGTAGCATTCCACCGTTAGCCAGCTCAACTTTTTTTTAACGCCGTTGGATTTGGAGGACGAAAAATTATGGCTTCCTAAAGGAGGGGACTAAAATATACCTTATTTTGAAAAATGGGCTAAACTCAAAATTCGCATTGATAATAGGACTAAAAACATATTTAATAAAAACCCTCAAAAAAACATACTTATGAGTCAAACACGGACCATTAACTTACAATCAAGATAAAACATTTCCGGTTTAACATAATCCTACCTATCCACATATATTATTATATCACCAAAACCAACTATTACTTTTCGAGATTAAATGATATGGTGACATTAATGTTTAAACTTAAAAAAATAGCTGATGAAAATTTAAATATACAAAGATAAATAAGTTTTGAATTGAATTCTATACCAATACCATTTACCCTTTTGAAAAGTTATTTAACAAGTTTTTGCTTAAACAAAATTTAATGCTAATAACATTCCAATTTTCTAGCGTTTCCTTTTTAAAAGTTTGTACCAAACCGATATCACTCTTAAAAATTGCCACGAATTTGGCCAATGTTTTGGAGAGGTTGGTGTTTTTGATTTATCTGTTTTAACAAATTTGTTATTATCCATCATTGTATAACTATTCTCTTTACTTAAGTTGAACAACAATTCAATAAACAAGGTTAGTATTCACATTCACATTATTAGAAGACTTAAGATTTAGAGTGCTTGATCCTTGGTAGGTTACAAACGTTTACAAAAGTACCTTTACCATATACGTATAAAACACTATTCACAATTTGTAATTGTTGCTTTGTGCAACTGATAATCTTATAATTAAGTATTGTTATTGTCCTTTTTTGCTAATAAAAGACTTTATCGGTGAGGGCCCGCAATTTCTTTATTACCCCTTGTGGAATAAGACAACACATCTTAAGAATCTCACACCATTACTCTTGTTTTCCTAAAGTAGTCTCATATATAATATTCCATTAGGCTTAAATGTTTATTTAATAGAAAAAATACGGCCACATCATCATGATTTAACCTTCGTTGTTTGTCAACTTTCAGGACATGCACCTTATCATAACACTTTTCCTATATAGATCCAATGTTTTATTTTAAAGCGGATACTAAACATAAATTCACCTCTAACAGACGAACGAAAAACACATTTAAGCCGTTCCATCAAAATATATATGTAAATATTATATTATATATAGATAGTATATATATTTTAAAACAATTCTGTAATTTTTTTACTTTGTAAACTCAATCATTTTAATAATTTTTTTACATATCTTTTAACAGCCCTCAAGATCAATTTCCAACCAAAGCTGGTAGTAGTAATAACAATAATATAATCAAATACATTACATACGCACAAAGGAGTATTAATTCTAACATAATAATAATTAGTATTATTTCAAAAAACATTCCTATACCTCAATTATATCATCACATTCTTCCAATTAATTTAATAAAAAAAACCTAACTTTTTCTAACTCCATTTTTTCAATCATTAATTTTCCACTCTCACAAATTGTGTACGGCCGTAATGATTGAGAGAATCCACATAACGGTTATCATATCCTTCATCTGGCACTACACTGAACGGCGTATGAAATATATATATTTTAAAGAAAATATAAAAATAATTCGAGTAATATATAAATGAAAATAATTAAAAAATAGTAACCTACCCTTAGTACTTAATTATTTAGTTCTATTTTAAAAACCGGGTTTCCTCCCCACTTCAAGATGGCCATAAGCATAAGCATTTGGCAAACGTTATATGTGTCGAAAAGAAGAGAATGTGATAAAGAACCTCTTTTCTCTCTCTTTGTTTGGGTACGGTTTGGTTGTGACCACTGTCCTGTTCCGGTTTATGTTTCCTTTGAGAGCAGAAGAATCAAATCAATTCTTCACCGTTCGTTCATTCAATTCATTTTCTTCCGTTTTTCCTGTTTTTTTTGTTCTTCTGAAAATAAAGATTGAAATTTGGATTTAAACGTGTAACCCCACCTTCAGATTTCACCCCCAGAATCTTGATCCCTTTATCCAGAAGCGTGATTGTTGGTTTCTTTCCCATTGGGTTGTTTCTGTTGTTGGTGCTCATTCTTCCTAGAAAAGAAATGGCGTCGAGTATAGGGATGATGGATAGCGCATACTTTGTCGGCAGAAATGAGATTCTCACTTGGATCAACAATCGCCTTCAACTTAACCTCACTCGCATTGAGGAGGTAATCCTCTTGGTTCTTGTTTGTGCCAACATTGAAAGAAAATAAAAAAATAATCTTTTTGGGTTGATACAGAAATGGGTTTCTTATGTTCTTTGTTTTTGTATTAGGGGTGCCATGATGTCACTATCTAAATGCCGGTTTTTTTTTTTTGACTTCATCTGGTGTGTTGTTACTACTTATATTTGCATTTCATATTTCTCTGCCGAAATAACTTGTAATACGTTTGTTTTATTACTCTCTTTTCTCGTTTTGCTTTTGTTCATACATATCGGCATTTTTTATTCCTCCTCTTATTTCGGGTGAATGCTATCTCTATATGTTTTTTTTATTTTTATGATGGTGAGGTATTAGGGTTCTTGAAAGAATTAGAATCTGGTTTTGCTGTGGATTTTCTAGGAAATGTTCTGGGTGGAGTTTTCTTTGATGGCTTTGCCAAATGTGGTTGAATAGAAAGTTCTTAGAATTATGCTGGAATCTGGGAATGTTTTGAATGTGAACCAGTGTTGTTTTATCTGTTAGTTGGATTTTTGTCTTTGCGTTGTGGGTTTTGAGAGCAAATATTCAAAGCTATTGGTCTTCTGTTTCTGTAGTTTTTATGATTATTGATTGATATACGATCATTTTTTTAAAACATTGGTCAATTTTTTTTCATAACTCACCAATAAATTTCCGGTGCTATACTTGTGCATGCAGTATGCACACTCGGTATGAGTGTCAAAAGTATTTGGTCAGTTAAGGATGTTTATAATTAAATTTGCTGATTGTTATTGTTAATGGTGTGCCAAAGTGTGAACATCCCATGGACTGGAGCTAAAATTGCTTTTGTACCAAGCTTGTCTGATTTATTTTCCCTCTCCTCTCTTTCTCCTGAAGATCAAACTTGGGGAAATGATTCCATTTCACTACTCAATGAAGTTCGTAATAAATAATGACAGAAAAGATTATTAGCTAATGCAAAAGCTTACTACAATGAACGTCTATTAGTTTTTCGTTCATTCCTGCTTATTTCTTATGCTTACTGCCAGGCTGCATCTGGTGCTGTACAATGTCAGATGATGGACATGACATATCCAGGGGTTGTTCCAATGCACAAGGTACACGACTTTGCTAATACTTTCTTTTATGCTCTTCTGATATCTTGAAGATTAATTTTTAAAACTTGAGAGTTTGTTGTTCTAGGTAAACTTTGATGCAAAGACAGAGTATGATATGATTCAAAATTACAAAGTTCTACAGGATGTGTTCAACAAGCTGAAAATTGAGAAGGTATGTGCTCTTCTCTTCACAATGCTAAGCAGAACATATGCAAATAAGAAAGCAAGATATAACAGTGGATGAAGTTCTTATAAACTTCTATTGTAGTTATCAAAATATCTTATCTTTAAAGATTTTAAACTTTGAATGGAATGATTCACCATTGGTAAACAATTTATCAAGACCAACAAGTTCTAATGAGGAGTAAATATAATGGTTTCATTCCACACTTGTGAGATATTAATATTTTTTCTTCTTCCCTTTATGTTCCCGACTGCAGTTATTGTGGTATTACTTCTATGGTTTGTTGTGCATTCAGAGTTTATTGCTCACTTTACTTACTTTTTGGGCTATGCAATCCCAGTTTCATTGGTTGTATAAGTTTAATGCCAGGGTGTGAATCTCCATCTTGATTTTATAGTCAATATATTTCAGATTATAACCAGGGATTGAAAACTTGTATATACTTTGACTCAATTAATGGCAGATGCCTGCATATATTGGGCTAACTTGACTACCATGTGGCAGCATATTGAAGTTGGAAGGCTTGTTAAAGGCCGACCTTTGGACAACTTGGAGTTCCTTCAATGGCTAAAACGCTATTGTGATTCTGTCAATGGAGGCATTATGAATGAGTATGCTTTCTGAGTTCTTTTACAATCTTTAAATGGTTTTGATCACCTCTATCATTTCTTATGATAATATGCATATGGAGTAAGTACGATGCTATTGACAAATAAATAAAGTGTCATGTATACTTAGTTTCTCAAAAGAATGCTGTTTCAGTTGCTGTTCACAGTGAACACTCTTGAAGGCTTATACACATGGTAAGTTCATTTATGCTATCAAAATAGAATAAAAAAAATTGAGGAACACGAGGAAGGTATTCCACTCACAAAATGACTCTGCAATCCTGTTACTTTTTTGTTTGTTTGTGTGTGAGTGATTGTAGTTGTGTCATAGATGTTATTGAAAGAGGGCCACTTTACTTTTTTGGTTGACTATGGCTCATCTGTAACGTTAAGAGCTATGATAACCTGATCTCATTGTTCTACATATGAAGTCTGCATACAGGAAGCCAGCCACTTGCTTATGCTAGTTCATAGCCACAATGTCCCAAATAGAATGAGATGTTCAGACTTGGCTTATATATGTTATTTGTAAGGATGGTTAGCCATCGTTGCTGTAGTTTTAAAATTCCATAGGTGTACTTTTAAAGGGGAATTCCATTCTGACCATATTATGGAATGTAATTATTATGCATTCCGAAATGCAAAGTTCAATGGATAGAGAGAAACTGAAAAGGGTTTGAAAATTTGCTTTGACTTTGGTTTTAATTTAATTATTTCAAATTAGTATTTTATTCTTTAGTCCTTGTTATACTTGTTTTAATAATGATGCTCTATTTTTGTGATTCACTGCTAGTCTATTCTAGATAAGGTTTCAATTTATTTAAAACTCTCCATTATTACTGATATTTGGGTTTGAAATACTAAGCGGTTCTGGCTATGCATATATGTTCTGGTCATTATAATTTATCAAATCGTTTCCACTTTTTTTCTAGGAACTATAATCCTGTTGAGCGGAGAAATAGTAAGGGTGGAAACCGGAATGTCAAAGGTCTAAAGGGATCAAAATCACTGCAAACAAATGCTATGAATCATTCTGGTTCAGGCGACTCACTCAGTACGAACAGAAAATTTGGTTTGCTTATGGGTGTCTTTGAGTTTGAATTTCAACTGTTTTGCAGCTTTTTCACAGAGGTTTCTGTGCATTACAATTTTAATCTTTCATCCTTTTCTGTTTCTCCTTGAGTGTAGGGTCCAAGCAATTGAGATCAAGTGGAGGAGCAGACGGTGGTAATGCTTCAGCTGATATTCAGGTTTTATCCAAGCAGGTATATATGACTGTGAAGATTAAGTTCACAGTATTTTCTGTTCCCATGATCTGTGATGGTTATAGAAATGACATGCAAGATAACGCTCCAAGCACTAAGGCATATTTTGATACATGTTAAATAACCAAAGAAGGCTTAAAGTTTGAACTTATAATAGAATTCTATATCAAAGAAATTGCTACATGTGCACAGAATTTAGACATTGTTGATTTTCTTAATTGTTGCACCTGATACCATGCAATATATGCATGCTGAGATCTCGCCGCACAATCTATTAGGTCTTGTGTTGGTATTGCTGTTGAAAGTTTATTACATAATAATTTAATGAAAATTGATTTACCTTTACAGTTTTTCATTGTTCATTATGTTTTCTTTTTTCTGTTTCTCAGGTTTCTGATCTCACACTGTCAGTGGATCACTTGGAAAAAGAAAGAGACTTTTACTTTGCAAAACTAAGGGATATAGAAATTCTTTGTCAAGCTTCAGAACTGGAGAATGATCCTGTAAGAATTATAATGGAGGCTTTCATTGTAGTTTAGTTATTTTTATTCACATTGGATTTGAAAGGTCTTTTACTTTCCTGTGTGCTTGTGCCCATCTCTCCCTATGTTGAGCTTCAACCTAAATATCATATTATATTCTCATGATCTATTCAAGGATTTTCTTGTATATAATTTCCTATATCTTTTATGACTGGAAATGGTGTGGGCATTGTAAATATTTTGTTTGTGAATGTAGAACCCTGAATTTGGGGGTTGAGATTCTGGTTTCTCAGACCTACATAGGTTTGCGTTGGTCTTTTTGGTGGGATATGACGAAGGGTATTCATTTTCTCATGGAGCATTGCGATATTTGCGAACCCTCAAGTATCAAGTCAAACTTGTGCACTTGGTTGTGTATTGTTTGATCTGCTAACAATCCACCACTCAAGGTCGGAGTAATATTACAATAAAGGGAAAGAGAAGGATACTTTTTGGTTGTTTATATATGTTGTCTTGTCTCCCTATATATGTTAGTGTTATTCAGTTAAGTCAATTTTTCAGTCTGGCATAAGGCTGAAGTATAGGACCAACAAGAAATTTGGTTCAGTTAGAAATCTGTTATATAAATTTGAAGAAGCTTTTTGGTGTGTCTTGATTGTTAGGAGGGACCATAAAATCTCTAACTGTTCTGGAGAATTGTGCTGCATCTTATTTTTCTCCTTTACATTCTCAACTTTTGTATATCTGTAGTCAAATAAAAGGATTCTATACAGGGTTTGAAGCCTGCACTGTAATCCTCTGCCCTACCTTTACCCTATGACTTATATGTTTGTTTGTTTTGGTATGATTCAGCTGGATGACGGTGTTATGTAGTGGTGCTGGAAACCAATCACTACTCTTTATATATATATATATATTAATATATATATAT